GCTGGCAAAAGCAAATGTTCTCCACCAAACCAAACTACATAAAAGGTATCATCTCTCCTTCCTAAAGCTTCGAATAAAGAAGCATGTTCTTTTATTATTGGAGAAAATATTTCTACTGCATTTAATATTGATGAGTCAGTTATCTTTTGAAGTATTTCATGTTTATTTTCTTCTGATATGTTATGTTTCTGTTTAATTTTAGTTTTCATTGTATGAGAAGATGATAAAAACTTTCCTATAAATTTTGTATTTAACATTGCTTTTTTTAATGTAGTCCAATTATATTGATAAGATTTTCCACCAATCCATCGTCTCAGTTCATAATCTAAACGAATTGATTCACTTTGATTAATATGCATCAGACACATCGGTTGTGGAATTGATATATTTTTACGAAAATTATCTTCATCTTCTTGTCGAGTTTGATCTTTAGATGACCAAAGTAATGTTCTTCCATGTTTTGCATAATGTGTGCTGATTGGAATGTCAGTAGGTAATATATCCAACTGATTACTTTGTAAAAATATATCTCTAAAAAATAATTTTTACTATATATATTTTTTTTCTTAAACTAATTTTTTCATATTATCCATTAATTAATTATCCATAACATAATTCTTAATAATATTTTGATAAATAAATTATATAAATTATATAAGAAGATAATTATATAAATTATATAAGAAGATAATTATACAAATTATATAAGAAGTTTATTATAAACTTACTTAAAACCATTAACATTTAAAGATACCATAAAAATCATTCCTAAGAGAATAGCAACATTCTTTTTATTAGCATTGAGATTTAGATTTTTAAGTTTATTATTAGTATTTGTATGTTCCAATGATGAAAGTTTTTGTTTTAAACTTGTATTTTCCTAATAATAAATATAATTTTTTACAAAATTAAATATAATTTTATTAAATATAATTTTCAATATGCAATTTTTACCATTTTTAATTGTTTATTTTCTTGTTGTAACTCATGAATTCGTTTTTCTAATGAAGAGACATATTCTTTCTTTTTTTTTCGTGATAGACAAGCTGATTCTCTATTTTTTATCATTCTTTGCTGTCTTTTCAATGCTTTTATTTCACATTCCTGTCGTCCAGTAAAATTAACATCTTGTATTTCATTTTTTATAACAATTGGAGTATAATTTGAATTTTCTGTTTTAATTACTACTGGTCTAGACACAGCTGAATCTTTTTTTATAATTATAGAAGAATGTCCAATTTCTTCATTGTTAAGAACCAAAGGTGTATCAATCATATTTACATCTTGATTTGTTTCTGATGTATATATGTTATTTGCACTATCCATAATTTTTACATGATTTTCTTGTGGTAATTGAATTTTCTTTGTTTCCGTTTTTATCTGTATTGATGGAAATTGTACTGAAGTTCGTTTATTATTTGTATTAGTTGTATGTGCCATATAAGGATATGATATATAATTTTGTTTAATTTTTTGAGTGAGTGCAACAAAATTTTGTGTATTAAAAAATATAGCATTTTGAGGCTGTGCTGGAAAATATGAAGTATATAAAAGAATAACATGTGATTTAGAAAAATAAACATTAACAAAAATAAAATTAATTAAAAAATTTTTTTAAAGGAAAGTTTTACCATCAGTGATAAGTTGAATATTATTTTTTGGTTGAATCCAAACACGTTTAGCAAAATTTTTTTCAGAAAGAATAAATTTTGTTTCTTTTGTATCTTGTGATTTAAGAGGCATAAGTTTTATTTGATTTGCAATAGTTACATTTGAAATTGATTGTGGTGATATAGGTGGGGATATATTTTGTGGAGGAGAAATGGGTGGTGTTTCTAAAATTGTCTACAACAAATTAACAGATATAATACATAAATATTATAAATTATTTCAATTCATTTAAATAAAGGTATTTTTATTATACCTTAAAATCACAAAGAGAAGCAGTAGAATTTCTTTCAACTTGAGATTCTAATCTATTAAATTTATATTGATTTGGTATAGGAGATAAAGATTGTCCATAAGAATTTGCAGATTCTAATTTAATTTCCATTTTTACATCATTAGCTACATGTAAATCTATAATTAATTTATAGTTAAATTATAACTATATAAATAAAAATAGTTTATGAATTTATAGTTAATAAATAAAAATCAATGTAATAAAAAAAAAGATTTACCTAAATTTTGTTGTGAAATAATATTTGATTCTTCAAAATTATTTGATGATTCTCCTATATATGTATCTTTTATAATTTGATTATCAACATTATTATCTATTTTTTGAGATATTTCATCATCAAATAATACAGGAATACCTAATTCAGAACTTAAAGTTTGAAATAAATCATCTGAAAAAAATACAATCATAAAAAATAATAAAATGTAAAAATATCCAATAATATATAAACTATAATATTTAGATAAAAAAAATGATTAAAAAAAATAAATTCAATATAATAAATTTTATATTATTATTATTATAAATATTAATTTTTTTAAATATATAAATATATAATTATTTTTGAATAAGTCAAATTTTTTTAATTAAATAATAATTTATAATAATAAAAATAAATTATTTAATCTAAAAATACATAAAATTTCTTTTTCAAATATAAACATTGTAATAATAAATAAAAAAAATATATTTTACTTAAATTACATATTACACTTAATTACATAAAAATAATTTTATTTGCAAATGAAATGAGTTTTAATAAATTTATTATTCAATAAAAATAATTTAATAATTAATAAAAATTATATAATATATATATAATTTTTGTATTTATCTTATATAATATTACAATATATATCATAATATAACATACAATATAATATAATATATATAATTATTATATTCTTTTGTTATTAAAATTTTTATAAATAAAAAGTTTATTAATTAAAATTTATCAAAATATATGTAATTATTAATATATATGTATATTCTATATTAGATTTATATTAGATTTGAAATATTTATTATTGCTATATTGCGATATTATATTATATATTAATAATAGAAATATTATATTTATACACAGTAAATATTAAATTTATATATATAAACATTAATATTTTAAAATAGTATTACGTACCCATAACCTCAAAATCTGAAAATGTTTGTTGAATCTCAGATTCCGTGCTATTCTGATTTATCAACATTGTTTATAACTTTCTTTATTTAAACAAAAATATTAATAACCTATAAATCTATTATTAATTAAACATTAAAACTTTTTATCTTAAACAATGAAATTGTTTTTGCCGGCATCGAATTATATAAATAGTATACAATATATAATTATAATAAATAATCGATTACTAAAGCAACTAAAACCAACTTCGATATAAAAATGATAATATTGCTTTTAATACAATGATAACAATAATGACATACATCAATACAATTCAGATTGTAATATGTTTATATATGAAAATTACTAACATCGCTATTTAAAATTTAATGACATTTATTAAGATGACATCATTATCATTGAAATTATAAAGAATTTTATTTTATTATGTATCTATCTCGATATCATGAATATAGTTATTTAAATTGAGAATTAATTGAGAATTTATTTAATATTTTTGATACCAAATTTTAATGAAAAATCATTCACAAAATATTATTTTTTATGTTAATCATAATAAGATAAGAAATAATATTATTAAATAAAAATTACTTATAATAATTATTAATAAATATATCAATTCTTCAAAATGTAAGAAAATTATTTGATTTGAAAATTTTTTTGTTTAAAAATTTAAGAAAAAATAAATCTGTTATTTAAAACTACCAATAAAAGAACTTTTCATTGTCTTAAAGAATGTTTTTATCTGACAGAAAATTGTGATTTATAAGATTCAATTACATATTTAGTATAATAAAAATATGACTTTTATATCATAATATAACAAACGATATAATTTATTATATCTAATAATATAATTAAAATATAAATAAATAATATTTAATAATATATAAAATTTAATTTTCATGTTAAAAAATTATATTTAATTATAACTATAAAAGTTATAATTTATTGTTGCGTACATATCTTAAAGAAAAAGTGACTAATTAAATAATAATAAGTTAATGAGTAATAGAATCATGTAATATTATTATTGATAATTTACTATCAATGTGCATATCAATGTGCTTATATTCTATGGTTTTTTCTCTACTCTATATTAGTTATCTATCTTTTTATATTTTTAAATTCATGGTGATCTCTAGTTAATATTACAGATAACTAATTAATTTATTACATTTCTTATTTTAATTTAATCTAAAAAATATAATTATTTTTATATTATATATAAAACGATATTTTCGTGGATAAATTATTTTTTATAGATCTATAGATGATAATTTGTATTGATAATTTTAATCTTAATGTAGTTTAAATTTGATAATTTAATTGGATCGTTGTAATTCGAAAGTTTTGTACATATTGCATTTTCATTTTTTGT